GTGCTCTGGGAAGGGAAAGGGGAAGAGGGAGAGAAGATTGGGAATGTTGAAGAAATGACCCTCTATCTTCAAGGCGCTTCAAGTTTCATGGGAAGACAGGCTGACAGCCACAAGCACATAGAATCAAACCAGCAGGGCTCTGCAAAGATGGGCAATACTGAACACAGGCCTTTGGAGAAGGGCCTCAACACCAAATTACTCTAGATTATCTTTCAGTTCAGTTGCTCAGTCGTGTCTGACTCTTTGCGACCCCATGAATCGCAGCACGCCAGGCCTCCCTGTCCATCATCAGCTCCTGGAGTTTACTCAAACTCATGCCCATCGAGTCGGTGATGCCATCCAACCATCTCATCCTCTGTCGACCCCTTCTCCTCCTGCCCCCAATCCCTCCCAGCATCAGGGTCTTTTCCAATGAGTCAACTCTTCACATGAGGTGGCCAAAGTATTGGAGTTTCAGCTTCAGCATCTTTAATGCAAAGTAAATGGAAGATGTTCCCCCTAAACCAATCAAAATGGTATCAAAAGGAGGTATCTATATCTATTCACACACCTCTATGTTCATGGCAGCACTATTCACAACAGCCAAGACATGGAGACAACCTAAATATCCATCACAGATGAATGGATAAAGATGTGGAACATATATATTAATATGATGGAATATCAGTCAGCCATGGGAGCTTGGGAGATGACCACTGGCCACCAGTCCAAGCTCTGCTACTCACAGGCTGCACAATCACGGACAAGCCTCAGTTTTTGCATCCAAAGAGTGGGCATAAAAACTCTCTTCCATTCTAGAAATGAATTGAAGGTCAATCCACCAGCCAACAAATATTTATTAAACAAGAGTTCCAGGGCATTGTTTCTCAAACTGTAAGGTGTATACACATCACCTGGGGATGCTGTTAAAAATGCAGATTCTCATTCAATACGTCTGGTGTGGGGCCTGAGTCTACACTTCCAATGAGCTCCTGGGTGGTGCATGTGATAATCCTGCCCCCCCGCCCCCCGCCCCCATCATATGCTCAGGGTCCAGAGCAGGAGGGCCCATGCCTCATGTTTCCGGGTATACCATGAAGTCAGATAACCAGAGGAGCTTGGAAGACTGGGGGAGGAGGGACCAACTGGTGGACTGTGACAGATAGGGACAGGGCCCTCAGCTCCATCCAGGGCCAGCAGGGGACTTGGGAGCGGCTGGACACAAGACAGGCTTATTTCTGTGTGGCAGACCCATCAACTGGCTTCTCCAGCCAGGAGGAGCTGGAAGACCTGGGGAGAGACAGTCCTTCCTTAAAGCCAGAGGCTTTGACAGAGCCCAGCCCACCTCCCAGGGAAGACCTGGGGAGAGACAGTCCTTCCTTAAAGCCTGAGGCTTTGACAGAGCCCAGCCCACCTCCCAGGGGCCCATGTGAGGCCCTAAAATCCAGTCCTCCGCTCCTGGCAGGATCAGGTCAGTCTGATCCCAGGTGTGATGTTGGGGAACAGTTCATTCAGACAGGGAAGTGAAGCTGTTTTATTCTATCTTAGTGAAAAGTTTGTGGTTTTCATATTGTTTCTGATCAAATTTGACATAGACAGTAACTTTTTTCCCTTAGAGAAGCTGGAGGGTCATATACCTTCCTGTCCCCCACTCTATGCAATATACATGTATATGCACATAAGGTTTCTTCACTTCAAGCAAGAGAAACCCACAACTGCTTCAGCTGCTCCCCTCTCTCAAGCTCCTGGGACAGTGTCTGAAGCCCTCCTTGAGAATCAGAAAGAATCTTCTGATCTCATCCATGTCCCCCCAACTTCAGAGCAAGGTCAAGTCCTGGTGAGTGACCCCCCCAGAGGACATAGTGCCAAGTCGCTCTGCTCTGAAGGGGAAAGCAGGTGAGTTGAGTGTGTTTTTGTGTCTCTCATGAGTGAAGAGACCCAGAGCCTGCTCTTGAGACACCCACACTTACAGCCCCACTGAGCCTCCAGGCAGGGCACTCAGGCCCCTCCCACTACGACACACGGCCTCGCCCCCTTCCCTCCAGCCAGGTGGGCTGGAGAACCCAACTCCCTGCCCCACAGGAAGGGACCAGGTGGAACCAAGGAGCAGACTCCAATGCAAGACGGTACAGAAGCTCAGCTGTAACAGCTTAGCCAGGCAGAGTACTGGGGAGCAGGCATGTCGGGGTTCCGCAGGAGGCCACCCAACATCTGTTGACAGAGGCTGAAAAGAGGCATCCTAGAGGAAGGGCATTCTGGTTCACACACAAGCTAACTGATGTCCAGGTAAGTCGTTTCACTTTCGCCAGCCTTTTTCATCTGTTACCTGAGAACAGACCTACATCATTTCCATGATTCCTTTCAGTCTAGAATTGTGAGCAGCACCATCACAGAGTGTTCATGAGCTCTGGCTGCCTGGGTTCAAATCCTGATTCTGCAAACTCCAGGGACATCCACAAGGGCCCCTTCTCCTCTTTGCTTGTAACTCCTGGTCTAGAACATAGGAATGAAGAGAACACCTGCTCAGCGGGTTGCTGTGTAGACTGCAGGAGGGCATACCTGCCATGCAGTGAGGGTTTAATAAATATATATTATCGTTTATTGAACTCTGGGGCATGCTGCTGCCTCCATTCTACTTACAGGCTGAGTGTCTGTGGGCCCCCAAGTTCATCCATTGTAGCTCTAACCTGAAATGGGATGGCACCTGGAGATGGTGTCTCTGGGAGGTAACTAGGGTTAGATGAGGTCATGAGGGTGGGGGCTTGATGATGGGATTAGAGGTTTTATAAGGTGACTAGAAGAGATCTCTCCAGGAGCCCACAGGGAGGACAGGTCATGTGAGGACACAGCGAGAAGGCAGCCACCCGCCATCCAAGGAGTGAGCCCCTACCAGACACCAGTGCTGCTGGTACATGGATCCTGGACTTCACAGCCTCCAGAACTGTGACAAATTCCCATTATTTAAGCCACCCAACCTATGACATTTTGTTGGGGCTTCCCAGGTGGCTCAGCGGTAAAGAATCTGCCTGCAATGCAGGAGACTCAAGAAACAATAGCTCGATCCCTGTGTCAAGAAGATCACCAGAAGGTGGAAGAGGCAACCCACTCCAGTTATTCTTGCCTGGAAAAGCCCATGGACAGAGAAACTTGGTGGGATACAGTCCACGGAGATGCAAAAGGGTCAGACATGACTGAGCCCAAGTCAATGACATTTTGCTCTGGCAGCCTGGCAGGCTAACACAAGCCCCAGGCTCACAAATGGAGTCAGGACCAATGACAAGCCATCCCCACCCCTTACTCTCTGCATGGAAGCCCTGCTGGAACCCCTAGACCCAGGAAAATCAACTCCATGCACACTCTGGAGGCTACATGCAATCTCAAGCACACACAGGGTCAGGTGAACCTCAGCATGCCAAGCAGCAGGGTACAGGCACTGCAGCAGGTCAGAGAGGATAGGCAGAGAGGGGGCAGGCAAGCACAAGGCCGCGTGCAGTCAGTGGGGGCTGGGGAGCCAGCACAGCCAGATAATCGAGCAGCCCATGCCGGGGACACCCGGCTCCTTACCTCCCCTGCAGCACCTCTGACCACCGGGCCTGTGTTCCCCCAAGAAGCTGGAGGCGTGCTGGAAAGAGTAGAAAGCAGGAGACAGGGAGCAGTAGGTACCGAGCCAGGTCTACAGGAAAAAGTGCCGGAAAGGAGCCCTGAGGAAGGGTGTTAGGTTCGGGAAGTTGGTGGCAGAGATGGTTTCCAAATGAAGATCAACCCACCAAGACCGCCCCCCACCCAGCCTGTGCCAGGGGCGCAGAGAAGGGCACAAGAGAGCAATGGGAGAAGACCCCACACTGGGCCACCCGAAATGGGCACCGGCCTTTCACAGCCCGGCACTGGGTCTGTCCGGGGTGAAAATCTCAGCAGACTTCCTGGGGGGGGGGGGGGCATTAACAATCTCTCAATGGTGAAAGGGACCCAGGGACTCAGGGGTGGACAAACATCACAGGAGGTGGAGGTTCCGATCCTGGTTCCACCACAGATCTCTGGGTAACTCTGGGTGAGGTACCTTCCCTCTCTGGGCCTCAGTTTCCCTGTATTTAAGATGGCAGAATATTTCCGTCTACAGTAGAAAAGAAGGTGACAAATACTCTACCAATACCAGACACCAAATCCCCACAGGGCCACATGTGTTTCTAGACTCTGGGGGTTGGTCTGTGCTGGAATAAAGAGAAGACTGACCATCCAAGAATCCTGGCAACAGTCTGGACAGACAGTTTCCTACGACCCTCACTGCCACCAAGAGCCACTGCTCAGGCTCTGTGACCCCAGGGCTCAAGGATCCAGGGAAGAAGGAGCTTGCAGTGCAAAGTCTAGGGGAGGGCTTTCACTACCATGTAACACCTGCAAGCTCAGGTCAAGGGCACTCTTTCCCCACATGGGCATTCACAACCCCCATCATGAAATTCTACATTACTAAGTCCATGTGCCTAGCTCCCCACCAGAACACTCCTCACCCTGGGAGGTGGCTCTGACCCGCCCATCACAGGATCGCATCACCACCCCCCTGGGCAGCTCACAGCAGGAGAGCAGCAGATATCTGAGCAATTCCAGGTTTCTCTGCCATCAAGCACCTGACCTGTAGCCAACATCAACACTGGTGCCAGCGTGACGACAGGTGGCACATTTTTTAAGCCTTTCCCAACCTGGTTACACAACTGATTCCTCTTATTCATGGTAACCCTGTGAGGGCAGATTATTACGACTCTGTCTTATAGATAAATCAACTGAGGCCAAGAAAGGTGAAGAGCTATATGCCCAAGGGCACACAGTTGCGTCACTATCTGTCAACAGAGCAAGGGCGGGTTACCCAAGTCTTCTGACCTGACATCCAGCCCATACCTGCGGTCAGCCAGCGGTGTGGCTGGTTACCCCAGCAACCACCTGACTGGTCAGTGTTCCAGGGACATGGGGATCAGAGTGTAATGACCTGGGCACAGTGAAGGGGAGCCCCAGCTGGTGCCCACACCTACCTTTAATGACAAAGGCCTCTGCCAGCAGCCGCATCTGATACAGGGGCTTGTTCTCCATGGACATGTCATCAATGCCAGCCCGTGCGTACATGCTGATGGCATCTCGATATGAGCCTTCCACGTAGTGCAGCTTGCCCAGGATCAGCATGGCCTCACACAGATACTGCGGCTGAAAGGACAAGGATCATATCAATGGGCTACTGCCATAAAGCCCCTGGCACACCCCCACCAGGTACCCGGGGATGAATACTCCCCTCACTGAGCCATAACGGTTCGCCTAAGACCCTGCTCAGAAGACCCCTCCTCTTCCAGGAAGCCTTCCCACCCCTCAAGTACATGTGGCCAGCTCCCCTCTCTGCACACCGGTAGTCCCTGGCCTACACTGTGGCTCATGGTGATATCTTCACACGAGTCCCTAATTGTGTTGTGTGTGTGTCTTACACCCCCAACTAGACTGCAAGTGGCTCACAGACTGGGCCCTGACTCCTTTTTCCTGAAGCTCCCAGAAGCTTCACCCAAGGCAGGCACTGGCGCTCAGTCCAGGCACTTGCTCTTAACACAAGTAGGGAGTCAGAGACCCAGCCAAGTTTTGTGGGGCCTAAAGCTTATATAATTGTGGGTCCTCTATATAAATGTGTGTGCGTGCTAAGTCACTTCAGTCGTGTCCGACTCTTTGTGACCCTATGAACTGTAGCCCCCAGTCTCCTCTGTCCATGGGATTCTCCAGGCAAGAATACTGGAGTGGGTTGCCACTTCCTCCTCCAGCGGGTCTTCCCAACCCAAGGATCAAACCTGCATCTTTCACATCTCCTGCGCTGGCAGGAGGGTTCTTCACCACTAGTGCCACCTGGAAAGCCCCATCTACATAGACAGATAGAGAGATAGATGCATATATGTATAAATATTTAACCAGGTGAAAGGCCTTGGAAAGAGTCCTGCAGGTGAGGGGCCTGAAGCTGAAACCCTCACCCACAGCAGCAGGACCCCTGCGGGGAGACGGCCACAGCCACAACATGGCCAGAAGACAGGAGAGTGAAGGCCTGTGAGGCCACTGCCCTTATCTTATCAGAATCAAGTGCCTGCACTCAAGCCTGTTTTCTTTCCCCTACTTGATCAAGTACTGCTTACACTCAAATCTCCACCCCATATGAGCACTCTTGGGAACTCCCTCAGGACCCGAGCAGGTCTGATCAGCCCTGCCTGAGAGTCCTGGCCTTGGACATGGGCCCAGACTGCTCTAAAATCTCCCACCTTCTGAGACCACTGTTCGTAGCCCTCCGCCTCCATGTCTGTGCTCAGCCAGCCCACCACCCCTTTGGCCAGGCTCTGGGCACCACCCCCACCATAGAGCATCAGTTCTGTCCACGAAGCTCCCGCAAGATGCAGTCCTGGTCCCCACTCCTGGCCTCTGTCACCAACAGGAAGGTGTTGCCCTTGCCCCCCTGTAGGGAGACCAGAGTCTAGGGTACTCATGACTCCAGGGGAAGCATCCACCACTCCTCACCACCTACTGCCCTCTCAGAAGCCAATAAAGGGAAGTGGAACACGGCAAAGCCAAAATCTCCTTCCTCACTGGTCCAATACACGTTCTTCCTTTGCTGCTGCTCACACAAGCCCCGTCTAAAACAGTCTTCCCGTCCCCTCAGTCTATGCAGATCTTCCACTCTTCTTCAGGGCCTTGCTCAGGCCCACCTCCTCCTAGAAGCCTCCCTGGCTGCCAGAGAGAGCTCCCTTCAACGTCTCCACCAAGTGGGCCCCCTGGGCCCCCTGCATGCCTGACCTGCTGACTGCAGACCTGCTCAAAGGCTGAATTTTCAAGGGGATTTGCTAGTCTCCCCCATTAGGTCACCTCTGCCCTGGGTCAGGGTCACAGATCGCACACCTCCTAGAGGCACGTTTCTTCCCTGCTCTGTCCTGGATTTCCCCATCGCTGAGGGCAGGATAATAACAGCCACCCATCACCTCCCGTCACAGCGAAGCCAAGAGCATTAGGAGACGAAGTCCAGAAAAGAGCTTTGAACTTTTCTCTAGAAAGGAGCTAGATAAACACAGGCCATGAGTAATTTATTATTATTCTGTTCTCCTGTAAAGGGGGAAAAGGGCAGCTAAGCTCAGGACATGTTTCAGGGCGAGATGACAGGGTGTAGCTTGGAGTGGTTCCTGTTGAACCAATAACAGTTTACAACAGGGTTTCCACCAAGCTGGTGGAAAATTAAGGACAATGAGGTGAATGTTTTATAAAATTAAAGTTATGCTAGTTAAAAAGCTGCCTTTAATTCTTAATTCTTAAGAATTAAGAAGAGCATAATTCTTAATTCTTAAGCATATCTGTCTTGTGTTTTGATGTTAAGACATTTACTCTTTTATGGGCCGATAGTAATAGAAAATAGTATGGTTCTGCTGTTGTGCTTGGGGGCTTTGTGAATGTCCTTTCCTGGCAGAAGGAAAAGTTGGCTATGCTCTTTGGGACCCACGCCTTTGAATTTGAACCTGGCTTGTCAATTCAACAGTGTGGGAACCACAGAGCCTAGGCCTCAGGGAAGGATACTCTGCAGGAAGCCACTGGGTCTGGGGAACAGTCCCTCAACTGGATGGATCAGGCCTGTCACCAAGCCTTTTTGTGTCTCAATGTCTCTGTCAATAAACAGGGAAGAGTGACCTCATGTGTACACTCAGGTAAGAGGAAGAAGAGATGGGGAAATACTTCACAGATGGCAAATGAGATCTCCAAAAGCAGAAGCCGCAACATCACCACCCACATTAGTCCCAGCTTCTCAGTCATTATTTAATTTCTACTCCAGCACTCGGGACACACAACACTGAAAAATGGCAAAGAACACGAGCACATGGGAGCAGAGGCAGACAGCTTGTGTTCAAGACCTATGCTGTGGTCCTTGGCTAAAGGACTAACCTCGCCTAGGCCTCAGTTTCTTCATCTGGAAAATGGGAATAACAGTAAATACCACTGTAGAAGGTTACTGTGAGGCACCAATGAGATGGGGCAAAGCCCGGCACTCCCTGGACACCCGAAGTCAGGACAAATGGCTCATTTTCACCAGCCTCCAAAGCACAGAGCTGCACAGGATCTCAGAGGTGACTGAGGGTAGAAGGTTCCAAACTACCCTGAGGAGGTGCCCCGGGACCCACCTCTCCTCCTCACACCATGAGAATGCCTCAGAATGCATGGGAATCCACCTGACATTTCATCTGCTGCCAAGAAACAGCACACCCCAGTCACACCTTTGCCTTTGGAGTAAGATAGAGAATCCCACAAACTACTTTTAATATTTTATTTTGCCTGATCAACATGGAGTTTTTAGCCTTGGTCCATGTAACAGTGAATTTCTCAATGTTATCACTGCCTATCATTGTCTCTGGTTAATAAAGCATGGTAAAATCTGTACTGAATAAATTTGATATGGTAGATAAAGCAGTTTTCACAATAATACATGCGGATACTATTTGGCAAATATAAAGAATGAGGTATTGGCATGGAGACAGCATCAAGTGAAAGTTTTTGGTGCAAAAGAGCAACTTGACAAGTAAGAACCATATAACGCTAAGAAGAAAAGAAAGCTCCATACATGTGTACATGTGACTGTTAACACAGAGAAGGCATACGGAATTCACAGCAAGTGATGACCAGAGCTCAACTCAATATGGGAGTGGACACGGGGGTAGGAGTGGAAACAAGGACTTATTATTATTCAAACTAGTTTTTTATTTTAGTGAACTTTTTTTTACAATAAGCCTGAGTCATTTTTATTTTTAAAAAGAAAATTTTAATATACAATTAAAAAGTCTACCGGAAGGAAAAAAATTTAAAGGGTCTTGATGGGAAAAACTTGAGACCTACTGGTCAAGTTCAGCCATTTGGATGGGCAGATGAGAAACTGGAAGGCCTGGAAGATCAGGGGACAGGCTCAGGGTCAAGCAGCTATTTTAATCCAGGACAAAACCTCCCAGGACTACAGTAATCCCTGTCAATGAGTCTGAAGGCAGTAACCTTAAACTCCCAGGACAGTCTCCCCACACCGTTCACAGAAAACGCACCCACTTCCTGGCCTGGTATTTCACTCCCAACTCTCTGGCCACAATGTCCCTTTATACCTAATTAAAGCCATTCCCTGATGCTACTGTTAATTGACATACTTTAAGGAAATCCTTCTAAGAGGAACTTCTGAATCATACACCGCTTCCATAGCTTAGAATGCCCTGCTCTATCTGTGTAAGTCCATATCCTGAGCCCTTTCAAGGTCCAGCCCCCAAATAGCTCCAATTTCAGAACTATCATCAGCCTGAGTTTGACTGTCCCAGCTCACCCCAGGGACTGTCCCCCTAAGAACTGCCTCCCCTTGTAAGCTACTCCAGTGGCATGTATCACAGTCCACCTTTAACAATTTTTTAACAGGACTATCTTCTCAGTAGCCCTGCAGCAGGGTCCACACTGGACTCATGCTTATTGCCCTTGAAGAACATGACACAGTGCCTTGCACACAGTGGATTGCGATACAATATTTAAGTCAGGAAATATATTACTTTGGAATAGCTCTTGAAAAATTACTTCCTCTTTGGGTCTCTAATGACATACCAATACTTCTATTACAGCTCACTGTACACTGGAATTCAGAACAGTCTCAAACTTAAAGTGCATGAGAATCACCGAGAGAGCATTCTTAAATGCAGATTCTGAATCAGACTTTGCATTTTTTCCCTTTTATTTATGTTTGTTTATGTGATTATTTTAGGTCTTTGTTGCAGCATGTAGGATCTTTAATTGCAGCATGCAAACTCTTAGTTGTGGCATGTGGTATCTAGTTCCCCGACCAGGGATCAAACTTGGGCTCCTGCACTGGGGGTGCAGAGTCAGCCACTGGATCACCAGAGACGTCCCCAGATTTTGCATTCTTAACAGCTCCCAGATAATACCCGTACTGCAGATGGGTGGACCATGCTTCGAGCAGTAAAGGTCTAAAGAAAGCTGAGACTGTACCTCCCTCTATATCACTCCTCAGTGCCTTGCATTCAGTAGGTGCTCAATAAATGCACGTGGACTCAAACTGGATTGCCATGTTATGGAGTGCTTCCATTGCTGCTGCTGCTGCTAAGTCACTTCAGTCGTGTCCGAGTCTGTGTGACCCCATAGACGGCAGCCCACTAGGCTCCCCCGTCCCTGGGATTCTCCAGGCAAGAACACTGGAGTGGGTTACCATTTCCTTCTCCAATGCATGAAAGTGAAAAGTGAAAGTGAAGTCACTCAGTCATTTCCGACTCTTGGCGACCTCATGGTCTACAGTCTACCAGACTCCTCCGTCCATGGGATTTTCCAGGCAAGAGTACCAGAGTGGGATGCCATTGCCTTCTCCGGCTTCCATTGCTAGACAACAGCATATGTGCCTGTTTCCAACTAGACGGTAGGCTTACTAGGCTTTATTTCCCTGAGATCCTCGAAGAGGCCAAATAATCAGGGACAAACTAGGTCCACCAAACACTGTGTAATAGAAATATACAACTTGGGCTACAAGTATAACTTAGGTTTTTCTAGTAAAAATTTCTAGTCACATTAAAAAAGGTTAAAAACAGGTGAAATTAATTTTAATATTTTATTTAATACATTCAAAATATTATCATCTGAATATGTAATCAATAGAAAGAATTAATGATCTTTAATAGTCCGCGTTTTGTACTGTCTTCAAAATCCAGTGTGTGTTTTACACTCACAGCACGTCTCAATCCGGATGATCCTTGTGGCTAGTGGCTACTGTACTGAACAGCGCAAGGCTGACCTTTAAGAGATACATGCTTCCCCAGCAACCACATGGCCCCGGAAAGACTGGACAGCAGACAGGAGGGAGGAGAGACAGCCCCAGGCTTGGTGGGTAGAGAGGAGAACAGCTTACCGGCAGCTTCCCGTGGTTAAGGATGCTGCTTAGGTGGTTTCTGGCTTCATTCATCTTCGGCTCATTCTTCTCCAGCAGAGGGATGGAGTCTTTTATCGCGGCATGGTTCCCCTTCAAACACTGCTCTAGGAGGGCCTCGGCCAGGAGCAATTTCCCCAAGTCATCTGGAAAGCAGGGCGGAAGTCAGAGTCGGTACGTGAGGGCAGCAGTCCCCTTAACAGGGCGAGTGCGAAGACTGTACGCACCCAAGCACTCCCGCCCCGGGCACATGAATGGTCCAGGTCTAAGAAAATAAAGACACATTAGAAATAAAAGCAAAAATAAACAAATGGGACCTAATGAAACTTAAAAGCTTTTGCACAACAAAGGAAACTATAAGCAAGATGAAAAGACAGCCCTCAGATTGGGAGAAAATAATAGCAAACGAAGCAACAGACAAAGGATTAATCTCAAAAATATACAAGCAACTCCTCCAGCTCAACTCCAGAAAAATAAATGACCCAATCAAAAAATGGGCCAAAGAACTGAACAGACATTTCTCCAAGGAAGACATACAGATGGCTAACAAACACATGAAAAGATGCTCAACATCACTCATTATCAGAGAAATGCAAATCAAAACCACAATGAGGTACCATTACACACCAGTCAGGATGGCTGCTATCCAAAAGTCTACAAGCAATAAATGCTGGAGAGGGTGTGGAGAAAAGGGAACCCTCTTACACTGTTGGTGGGAATGCAAATTAGTACAGCCACTATGGAAAACAGTGTGGAGATTTCTTAAAAAGCTGGAAATAGAACTGCCATATGACCCAGCAATCCCACTTCTGGGCATACACACCGAGGAAACCAGATCTGAAAGAGACACGTGCACCCCAATGTTCATCGCAGCACTGTTTATGATAGCCAGGACATGGAAGCAACCTAGATGCCCATCAGCAGACGAATGGATGAGGAAGCTGTGGTACATATACACCATGGAATATTACTCAGCCATTAAAAAGAATTCATTTGAATCAGTTCTAATGAGATGGATGAAACTGGAGCCCATTATACAGAGCGAAGTAAGCCAGAAAGATAAAGACCATTACAGTATACTAACACATATATATGGAATTTAGAAAGATGGTAATGATAACCCTATGTGCAAAACAGAAAAAGAGACTCAGATGTATAGAACAGACTTGTGGACTCTGGGAGAAGGCGAGGGTGGGATGTTTCAAGAGAACAGCATCGAAACACGTATATTATCTAGGGTGAAACAGATCACCAGCCCAGGTTGGGTGCATGAGACAAGTGCTCGGGGCTGGTGCACTGGGAAGACCCAGAGGGATTGGGTGGAGAGGGAGGTGGGAGGGGGGACCGGGATGGGGAATACATGTAAATCCATGGCTAATTCATTTCAATGTATGACAAAAACCACTACAATGATGTAAAGTAATTAGCCTCCAACTAATAAAAATAAAAAAAAAAAAAAAGAAAATAAAGACACAGATTCCACAAATTTAACCAGCCTCTGAAGAGAAAACCCGGACATTCTACCACGGCCACAGCACAAACTGCCCCCTTTGGTTTAATTTCTGCAGTGCAGCGGTTGAGGACGTGGAGTTCCCAGGACTTGGCACAAATTCCGGAATACAGAATTTAAAATGACAAAATCATATCCGTGCTCCACAGTGATAAGTTCTTACACCAAGAAGGAACGTTTCCCAAACAACTGAAGAGGAAAAATAAGCAAGGTAGCTTACACATTTTAGTTCAGTGTTCCTAACTTCCACGTAACCAGAATTGGTTTTCACTGTTTTTAAGGTATTTGAACACGACCCTGGGATAACCTGGGCTTCCTCAGTGGCTCAGCAGTAAGGAATCCGCCTGCAATGCAGGAGACGTAGGAGATGTGGGTTGTATCACTGGGTCAGGAAGATCCCCCGGAGGCGGGCATGGCAACCCACTCCAGTATTCTTGCCTGAAAACTCCGATGGACAGAAGAGCCTGGTGGGTTACAGTCCATGGCGTCACAAAGAGTCGGAGACAACCGAAGCGACTGACCGTGGCACAGCACTGGGATAATCTAACAGCCAAGCAGAGTTAAGGCGGGAAGCAGATTTACTGGTGTAGCAAGGCAAATCCTTGAACATCTTCAGTACTTGGCACTTTCTGGAGTTCTCTCACATACGTAAGCTCGTCTACAGACCTCACTACTTGGCTAGTGATTTCATACTGCTTGGTTTAATTTGCCGTCTCCCCAACAGCACTGAAAACTCCAGTCTTGGGGCCACCACATTCCTGCTATTTACAGCAGGGGCAACCTGGGTGGGGTGGGATCCGGGTGCTCAGGGTGCAGGGTTTGAGGTTGAGGGTGATTTAGGGATAGCCTCGGGTGGCTGTGCTCGGTGTGACTGGCTCATGGCCCAGTCCCCTCGAACAGAGCAGGGACCACTGAATGCAGGCGCCCAATAAATATTAGCTGCTGAGTGAAACAGATCCTTTCCACTCCCCCATGGGGAAACTATGGGGCTTGGGGACTTCCATGCAGATCCAAAATGCCTCCAGGAAGGTGAGCTCAGTCCCACCTCCTCTAGAGCTCTTTCTGCTGCCAGGATGGCGTTCTCAGACCTACTCAGAATGCCACTCACTCCTTACTCTCAGGACCACTGCAGTTTGCTCACAAATCAAAGCCACGGGTATACAATTGCCTGTCCCCGAGTAAGAGTCTTTCTCTGTAAGGGAGATGCCCTGCGGAGAGCACCCTGAAAGATCAGACCCAAGAAAACTGTCACGGGACATGTCCCCTCTGAGTATGCCATAACCTACAAGCCCATTCTTTGCTACCGACCTCATGGTTTCTAAAATTAACATTTGGACAGAATGGGCAAAAACAATGGCTCAAACTATCATCCATTGCTGGTGGGGCAAAAGTTGGTGGAACCTCTATAAAGTACAATTTGGTGACATATGTTAAAATTATGCCTTGCACATTCCATTGACTCAGTAATCCCATGGCTACAGACATCCTCAAACATGTGTAAAACGACCGACATATAAGGCCATTCCTGCAATGTTGTTTATAATAGCAGAAAACTAGAGACAACTTTTATGTCCATAAAGAAAAGTCTGATTAAATAAAGCATGATACATTCATTAAAAGGGACACCATACTACCATTTAAAGAAATCAGGAAGTTCTGCATGGGTCATCATGAAATGAACTTCAAGATACACTGATCAGAAAGTGGAGCACACACAGTGGGCCACTGTGCATTTATGCATAAAAATATACAAAAGAATAACATAAACATCTGCCAACTCTGCTGCTTTATGGGGGAGGGGCAGAAATGGAGGGAGGCTTTTCACTCTTTTGGTTACCTTTGGAAGACTGACCCATGTGAATATATTATCCAGTCAAAAATAAAATTTAAATCAACTCAAGAATAAAGGGAAATATTCTACGTTTCCAAAATCTCAGGCAGGAAGGGAAGTGAGCTGCTTAGAAGTGGGTGCCTGAGCTGCATTTCTGAGCTGTGGGCCACGAGGCAAGTTGCTGTCCCCTTCTAATCTGTAAAGCTTGAGGCAGAGTTAGCAACCTGCTACTTCCCAGGGAGGAAACAGCAACGCACCCCAGTATTCTTGCCTGGAGAATTCCATGGACAGAGGAGCCTGGAGGGCTACGGTCCATGGGGTTGCAAAGACCTGGAGAAGGCTGAGGGACTGAGCCTACGCCCGCTTCCCTGGAACCGAAACCCTCCCCAGGCTCCGCCTCCTGCGCTGGTCCCGCCCCTCAGCTGTCCGCGCACCTGCGCACACAGCTCCCGCCCCTGAGGTCGGCAGCCCAGCCCTTGGACCCCCAGGTACCGCCTCAGGCACTCAGCTGCCCAGCCCAGAGCTCCCTAGAGCTCCTTGGCTCCTTTCCTTTCATGCCCAAAGAAACCAATTCCTTCCAGGCAAACCTAAATCTTGAAAAACTCTCCAGGGCCCATACTTCTCCTCAAAATAATGGAACTGTCCTCGGAACACATTCTGCTCAAAGTGTGGTCCGTGGGCTGGGGCAGGTCTGTGCACGTTTGTGACCCAGTCCTGCGGGGTGAGTGCAGAAATTCACAAAGTACGTTTAGAAACACTGATAATCATGTAACAGAATAATTGCTGAATCAGATACTAAAAAACTGGGGGTGAGTGGGTATCAGTTTATGTATTTTAAGAAAGTACCAGAGTACAATAGATTGAGAATCTAAAAAAACAAACAAAACCCAAAATCCAGAACATAAAACTGAGCCTTCACCACAGATAGCTTGAGAAGCATTACTCTAAAACCCAAGAGTGCCTTTTACTGCCAAAGGAGGGCTGATGTTTGCTGAGAGCTCATTGAATACCTGGTGGCTCAGCGGTAAAGAATGCCAATGAAGGAGACGCAGGTCTGATCCCTAGGTCAGGAAGATCCCCTGCGGGAGGACATGGCAACCCACTCCAGTATTCTTGCCTGGAAAATCCCATGGACAGAGCAGCCTGATGGGTTACAGTCCATGGGGTCGCAAAGAGTCGGACACGACTAAGCACGCATGCATGTACTGAGTATCAGATATTTATCATTTAGTATCATTTAATCTGCACAGCTCTGAAAGGTAGAAATTATACTCATTTGATAGATGACAATAGAGATGTAATACTGTTACCGTCACAACCCACCATAATGTAACGCAGCCAAAGAACAGTCTGTCTTCCCCACATCCCGTGCAGAGCAGAGCCTCTGATAGTCTGGAAATGAAGAACAATCTAAGGAGCTGTAAACAGTAGGTTAAAAGCTAATTCCAAGGTCAGGAATAAGAACAGTTCTCACTGTTACACACTTGAGTTACAGACTATTTTGTAAATTAACACTCCGGGTCCTTTTCCAGAATCCTGTGCCCTCCCCCTTCACTCCTCACTCAGTCTCTGTTTTTCCACTTAGCAGACACTCTAGTGGATGTTGGGGATTTACTTTCTTTTCTTCCTTGTCCAACTCTCCTCCCTGCTCCACATTTTCCATCCCACTGTCCTCAAGTGGTCAGTCTATGGAACTGAAAGCTGTTCTAGGTTTTCAGTTGTTAAATAAGGATATAGGTAGATCGAGGCTTTCCTATCCATCTCCAAAGGTAAAACAAATTACTCTTTATCATTTAGTGTCTGACATCTACTCCCTATCCCGGGTCAGCTTAAGTGTTCCAGCTTCTCCCTTCCCAGGGCATCAGAAAGGCCTTTCTCACAGACAATGCCACAGACTCTGACAGCCTGGCTCTTGATTCTGGCAGCCCAGCCCAGCCCTCTGCCTTAGCAGAGGCACAAAGGAAGCCCCTATTTAGTGGCCCCCCAGTCTTCCCACCTTGTTTTGGGGGCCTCTGGGGCCAGCTTCCCTTCCATTCTTGCCCCTCTCCAGGCCTCTCAATGGGTGATAGGTAATAGGGACCCACTTCAAGAATACCAGCCTCCTCCCCGGAACCCATACTTTCAGGGCAGAGCTCCTTCTCTTCCACTTGTCAGTTCAGTCAGGAAAGCTGGGTCCAGCCAGCGGGCCAGGTGCTCAGATCAGCCCCTTCCCTCCTGGTCAAAAGGGGACACAGTGGTCTCTGCAACTGCTCACTTCACAGAACTGCAAAGGGTGGGACCTCCCAACCACAGCAAGAGGAGGAAGAAGGCAAAACTCGTGACAGGCCACCTGCCTCAAACACACTCCATCTAGCTTCAGCTGGAAAAAAAAAAAAGCTCAGAACAATCGCCAGGTTTTTTAAATCACTAATTTAAAAGGGGGATAACTACAGATTAAGAGACTCAAGCTGAATGGAGAGTGTGGCAGAAGTGATTAAAGACAGTACAGTAAAAGAATATCAGAATTTAGGTGGTGGCAATATAGGTGTCTACTGCAAAATTCTTTCAAATTTGTATGTTTGAAATTTTCATAATAAAGTGTCTTCGATCAATCCATTAACCAAATGCAATGTGAGGCCTTATTTGGATCCTGATTCTAGCAAATGAACTGTAAAGTTAAGCATTAGATAAAGGGGGACTGCAATAATGGTAGTTTTATTTTTCAAAAGAGTTCTTGTTTAATAAATAAATACTGAAATAGCAATGTGGGGGAGAAATGGGCCAGGGTATAGCTCAAACAAGACTATTCATGAGTTTGTGATTACTGACACTGGTTGATGGATACATGAGATTTATTTTTGTACTTTTTTGATGTTTAAAAAATTTTTCATAATAAAGGTGTTTTTTTTTTTCTTTTTTTTAACCACTTGGATGGGGTCTTTTGTCTCTACATGAACAAACCCCATTACAGCTAGCCACACTCTGGGGTTCCCCTGCTGCATCCTGACCAAATCTAAACCGGATATGTCTGAAAGAAAATGTACAAACAGTAACAACACCTTTCCCCCTGGGCAGGTGGTGGGGAGCAATCTCCCCGGACAGGAAAGGGGGGTATAAGGGCCCCTTCTGGGGGAGCATCTCCTGATCCTTCACTCCTTCATCTCTGATCAGAAAGAGGACCCCCCTCCTGCTGGGTCTTCCCCTCCTGCTGCCTGGAGTGAAACCCAGGCTCTGGGAGCTATTCTTTGTTTCTGGAGGAAACCCCACAGATACAGTGGGGCCTCAGTCTGTAAAGCAGGGTTCAGCCGGGGTTCAGCTTCCTCCCTTCTCCCAAATTATGTCATTATGTTGACGCTTCTGGTCCTTGACTGTAACAATCTAATCGACCAGGTGGGACTTTTAAGAATCTCCCTCTTGGGTTGCATGGGCAGGGGGGAGGGCAGGGAGGGTCAGTGCCAACACCCCCTCAAAAAGAATAGGCTGCCAATCCTTCTAGTGATCAAGGAACTCAGTGGCGAAACGACCAAAACAGCAGACAATCCAAAAATGCCCTACACATGGGCTTTGGAAGTCACTTGTTTTCCTTCCTTGTGTGTGTCTGTGTGTGCATGTGCGTGTGTGCATTTTGGAATAAGTGTATCTAGATTTAACAGTGGGAGAAAATCACTCATAGAACCAAACCTCAAAATTGGCAGTAAAGACCCCACTGCCCCCAGGCTCCCTCTTTGGGCTGGCCAGTACTCACTGTGAAGCCCAGACAGGCTTCACACTCCTTCCTCTGTCCCTAGTAGACTTGGGTGAGACTCATGTTTGGGTACACATTCTCTGCCACATACTACTCATTATGTGACCTTTCTGGCCCTTGGTGTCTAAAGTGGGGACAATCATTCCTGCCTTCCCCACTGGGCTGTTTACAAAAAAAGGTTGTTCAAATAGAGAAGCAAAAAAAAAAAAACAAATAGAGAAGCAATTTATAACTACACATACCATTTATAACTATGCCATGCCAGTGCTTCCCAATAATGCTTCATATCATATGGTCAAAGTAAGTTTGAGAAATGTATGTTTATACTCTAACCTGGGCTTGATTATCACCGGCAGGTGAGCACATGAAAGGCTCTGAGAAGTTCTATAGTTTTAAAAAATCAGTTTAACCATATTGAATCTATTAAGCCTAACATCTTAGCTTTTGGGATTCCCCAAACTCTTTTGTCCTGTAATACCAATGACTTAATTAGTCAACCTCCTTGAGATGTCTGAAGAACAGCTTAGGAAGCATAGTCCCATGGAGACTCCAGGAGGCCCCGGTTCATTTTGTGAGCCCAGCAAGTTTCTCTGTGGTGCTGCCAACCTCACTCAGATTCCCACGCACTGTCCAGGCCCCAGTGCCCTGGCATGGGTCAGTTTCCCTTCCACCCTCACCAACCCCACCCTACCACATCACCCCACAGAGGGGACAGAGGGAACCTGAAATTTATCAATCCTTCCCTGGAAGACAGATGCCCATCAGTTTCCCCCACATGCATCTTCAGCTCTGGCCAATGCAACTCACTGCCACATTCAGACCTACCTGAGAGTCTCAGACCAACTGTCCATCCCTGCCATCTAGTTCCCTCGGTGTCCATCTATCCCTCCTCCTCACCAGGAAACAATACTCTGCCTTTCCCAACACCAATCAGAGGCCAGCACCAGTTCTGCTGTTTCCTGAAACCTCCCCTTTCTCTGAGCTCCACAATCTAACACACAATTGCCCTCCGATCACCCCTCGGCTTCCCATCCATTTTCGTCGGGTCTTCAAGCTCGGTTTTTGTGTAATACATCCTTGAGAGGTAATGGTGCAAGTAGTTAAAAGGATGTCCTCAGAAATCTGGGTTCAGGAACTTGCCTGGTAGCATAGTGGGTAAGAATCCGCCTGCCAATGCAGGGGACACAGGTTCCAGGCCTGGTCCGGGAAGATTCCAAGTGCCGCCGAGCAGCAAAACCGATGCACCACAACTACTGAGCCAGTGCTCTAGAGCCCAAAAGCTGCAACCACTGAAGCCCTTGTGCCTAGAGCCTTCTCCACAACCAGAGAAGCCACTGCCAGAAGCCGGTGTATCTTAACTAGAGAGTAGCCCCAGCTCTCCACAACTAGAGAAAACCCAGCACAGCCAATAAATAAATTCTATTTAAAAAAAAAGAAATCTGGGTTCAAAACCTGGTTCCACCGCTTATTGGCTGGATGATAAGTTACTTAAGTAACCTGTGCCTCAGTTTCCTTGTCTGAAAGAGACAAACAAGAGTACCTGCTTCGTGGGGTTGTTGGAGAAATAAACGAGTTGATTACAGGGCTTAGACACTGGCACACAGTGACTGAGCAAGTTACTTATTACTGATATTATTATTATCATTCTGTCTCCTTTCAGAGCCTTCACGGGCTGGGCAGTCCTTAAAACTTTCTATCTGTATTGATTTACTCCCTGCCACCTTCCACAAAGGCCCCAAAGTTGGCTGAGCAGAGAGGGCTCAGACAGGGCTCGCTGGGCTGAGCTGAAGGTACGAGGAACAGGATTTGAGGTTGGAGACTGGGGCGGGGTGCTCCCCACCGCCACATCAGGCTGCTTTCCCGCCCTGGCACAAGAGCCCAGCCCAGCCAAACCAGCCCTACTGCTGAAGACACCGACTGCCAGGGCGAGAGGCGTCCTGAAGCAGAACACAGAAGAGGAATCTAAGGCTTAACCAGCCCTCTTTCCCACTTCACCACTCCACCTTGGCGCTCGTCAAGCCCCGAACCATACTGGCGGTGCACAGAGCTTCGCTGTCAATGACGGGGGAAGGCGGGGAGGGCAAAGAGAGAGAGACAGTCTTCACCTGACGGAGTTTAGGCACCGGAATGGGGGTTGGAGGGGTGGCGCAGGGGTCCAGCCCACGCCCTGAGCTAATAAGTGTTGCTACCACCATTTCACAGTAGTCGGAGTAGCCCACAAGATCGGAAAGGACAGAGAGCAAAAGCCGTTTATTTCTCTTCCCCAAAACAACCTGCACGTGAGTCTTCTCCCGAGGCACAATAACCTTCCTAAGTACCCTGGCTGTTTCCTAACATCAGCAACGCAAGACGAGCAATACCGAAAGCAGCCACCTCCCGCCCCAGGCAGTCGGGGCCCGCTTCCTGGAGGAGGCGGCGCCTTTCGCGCGCTCCGCGCTTGCGAACCGGCCCCTTCCTTACTCACTCACCGGTGTCCAGAGAGGTGAACCCAGCGCTCGGGCTGCCTCGCCGGCCGCCTCCGCCACCCAGCATGACTAGCGCCTGCATCTGCCGAACCAGCTCGGGCATGCGGTCCCAGTGGCCCTCGGCGCGGCAGCGCTCCAGCTCGCTCTCAATCTTCAGGTGGGAGCCGTACGCGCCCTTCGCAGCCATCTTCGAGCGGACGCAGTCATGGGAGGTGCGGCAGAGAAGTGGAGACCCGGCCGGGGGCGGCGTCCCGGCTGGGGCACACACGCGGGCGGGGTCGACGGGGGCGCGAGCTGCGGCCGGGGCCCGGGTGGCAGCGGGGGCCCGGGCAGCGGCGGGCGGGCAGCAGCCGCAGCACCCAGCGCACCGCCCGGCACCTCCGGGCTGGGACTCCGGCTGCGCGACCCGGACGCTTCCAGGAGCAGCCTCCGCCTCTGCAGGAGCAGCTCCTGGCGCCGTTGCCGCCGCCGCTGCAGCAGCTGCTGCCACAACCCCCGCCCCGGGCCCGGGCGCCGCCAGCCGCGGACCCGCCCCCGGCCGCAGCTCCACCCCCGCGGGGGCGTGGCGCGGCCTCGGCGAGCCAGGCGCGCGGGCCGCCAACGCGGCCACAGCAGCCAGGCGCGCGCTGGGAGCTCGCGGCCGCACCGGCGCCACCCCCGCGCCGCCGCCGCCGCTGCCGACTCGGCGCTCACTTTAATACCGCGCGGAGCCCCGGCGCCCGGGGGCGCCTCGCTCCCCACCCCCTCCCCATCCCATTGGGGCTCTTGGCCTGGGAGACCTCCGCCCCGACGACCCTGCTTTGTGTGGTGGCCCCGTCACCACCGCTGCCCCGGCACGTCACAAATCCGGGGAGAGGCCGGCCGGCCGGTAGCTCCCAACTCGGAGAAGGAGCCTCCCTGGGGAGCCACCGGCAGCCTCCCGGTTCCCGCCCTGCTGGGCCGCGCGACTCTTGCGCGCCATCCCCGGGGCTCTCGGGAGAACCTGCTAGTTCCGAGACCCGCGACTCTCGGGATGCCTCCCCTGCGAAAGATTTGTATGTTCTTTCATCAGAGTGGAGTTCCTCTTTCCAATCTGTCTCTCCCCACCCCAGCTGGCAGGCCTTGTCCTCTGCAGAATCCTGTTGCCCTGGATTTCTTAGACGTTTTAAGCCGTTTCTCCAACTTGGTATTTACTTATTTTTTAATTCTAGTGTATAAAGACTACTTTGATCAAAGCTGTACCGAGCTCTTAGCAGGACTTAGCCCTGTGTTGTGGGTACTAAGAAGTTCAAAGGATTACAAGGCAGGCGGGGGAGGCAGACCCTTTGAGAACCGTTTGTGGTGGCCCCGCATCGGGTACAGCCCAGGGTGGGGATGGAGGCCATCACGCAAGACCAAAGCGTCAAAACAGAACTATTTAAGTGACAGTGCATGGCACAGACCGAAGATTCCAGAAGACCGGAGGGTCAGAGCAAGCTTTTGAGTATAGACCCCTAAGAACTAGAAGGTTCACCCCTTCTTCCCCAGCCCCTGCCTGATACGTAACCCTGGGAGTGAGCTTGACCACTTTCAGTGTCAGAAGACACTACTTCGTGCGTCTGGACAACTGTAACCCATGGGAAGTTTTTGTGCAGTGGAGCTCAGACTCCTGGACCCTTTGTCTCTGCAGCCACAAGGGGGCGTCTGTTGAAGGCGGCCTCCCTGCGCCCGCGTCCCTGCCGATATCCTCTTCGGTGTTAGTGGGTCCGTCGTGTCCGACTCTTTGAAACCTCATGGACTGTAGCCCACCAGACTCCTCTATCCATGGAATTCTCCAGGCAACAATACTGGGGTAGATAGCCATTCCTTTCTCCAGGGGATCTTCCCGACCCAGGGGTTGAACGCGGGTCTCCTGCACTGCAGGCATTTTCTTCACCACCTGAGCCATCAGGGAAACCCTGGATGTCCTCTTCTCTAGGTCCCACATGCAGCTCCATTCCTTGCTTGTGAGGCAGAATTCCTCACCTTGGCTGCTCTAGGCTGACCTGAGCTCCTAGAGACGAGGAGATAGATGAAGGGAAATGGGGGTGGCTTTGGCAGTTTGCTCAATTGACACCGACTCCTTTAGGTTACCCTTTGGTTGCCCTTGCTGGTCACCAGAACCGGATGTCACTTGGAGAGAGCTGTGTGTGTCCTTCGGATGGAGGCGGCCTGAGGACACCCTGTGATTTGCCCCAGAGTCAGCCCTCGGGCAGCCAAAGAAAAGCAGAGCTGATAAGAGGAATCCTAACAAAATAAGGAAAACCTCTCCTCCCTCTCGTCTTTCCAATCCTTTGCTATGCCTGCCCCCCAAGTTGCTGGACTCCAGGGAACTATCTGAGGCGGTATTGCTGCCTGTTGATTGCGTATTCAGATCATGTTGGGGTCAAACTGTTGTTTGGGCTTTCCTGGTGGCTCAGATGGTAAAGAATCTGTCTTTGATTCAGGAGACCTGGGTTCCGTCCCTAGGTTGGGAAGATCCCCTGGAGGAGGGCATGGCAACCCCCTCCAGTACTCTTGCCTGGAGAATCCCATGGACAGAGGCGCCTGGCAGGCTGCAGTCCACGGGGTCACAAAGAATCAGATACGACTGAGCAACTAACATGTTCTTTGACAGGAGCACCGATATTTGTGTGGGCCTGGGGCACTGGCAGGAGGAACACAGCAGGATGGTGAAAGCTTAACAAACACAAACACATGCTGGACCCCCTTACAGCTGTTTTCCAGAAGAGTCAAGACCCCAGCCCACTAGTCACCACTATCTTTTAGGGGAGTAAGAGGCTGTAGGAACAAGAACAAAGAATAACCATGATCCAGTGAGTAACATTTGACAAAATCCGTGGCAAATACAAGTGTAGAGCTTGTTTTTAATTTATTTTTAATAATCTGGGATCTCTCAGGTGAGAGTTTAAGACACATTCTAATGAAGAATGCTGTCATTGCCAGCTCAGAAATGCTGCCAAAATACCAAAATAATCTAGGATCTCCCAGATGAGAGTTTAAGACACATTCTGATGAAGAATGCTGTCATTGCCAGCTCAGAAATGCTGCCAAAATACCTTCAGCAAGGTAGAAAGGAAAAGGAAATAAGGTAGAAAAGGTATTTTCAGCAAGGTATTTTCCTCCTCAGATGAAGGAGGCTGAGTTCATTGCTTACCAGAGGGAGAGTACTGCCTAGACCATCTTTGCAGAATCTCAGAGAAGGGAAGGAAGTTCACAGGAGGTAAATCAACTTAATGAGAAATGTGTATTTTCAGGGAGCAACAGAGATGGTACAGCACAAGGGACCATCTGGTTTAAAGGAGACTCTCAAAGCCAAGCCAGTAGGAGACTGTTCCTTTAGCTGCTGCCCCTGAACAGAGTGGGACGTTCTTGCCACTGGATCATCAAAGAAGCTTAAGCTACTGGTGTTTATTCTCATGAAGTTAAGTTCTCAGTAAGATCTCTTATTGACTTACAGTTGGGCTTCTTTGATAGCACAGATGGTAAAGAATCTGCGTGCAGTGCCAGAGACCCAGGTTTGACCCCTGGGTTGGGAAGACTCACCTAGAGAAGGGAATGGCTACCCACAAAGAGTTGGACATAGCTGAGAGACTAACACACAGTAGGCCCAAAGTAAGAGGCTTTTGAACAGTTCATTCGAACTAAAAAAATAAGTTTATGTTTTTTCTCAGAGAAAAGACTTGATTAGGAACTTGGGTAAGTCAAATAATGATGTGGGAGTTGTAAGAAAACTTGGGAACACACAGCCCACAGTGGCCAGTGAGACTCAGTTCAGTTCAATCACTCAGTCGTGTCCAACTCTGCAACCCCATGGACTGCAGCACGCCAGGCTTCCCTGTCCATCACCAACTTCCAGAGCTTACTCAAACTCATGTCCATCGAGTCAGTGATGCCATTATGAGGATTCATCTCAAGAATCCTCATAATTATCTCTTAGTTTGCTGGGAAGCTTTTGCACAGCTGGTTGTCTGGAGTAAGAGATTTACCTCATGGGATAAATCCTATCTTAGGTCGTGCACTGTCCTTTAACAAATTGTTAACTTCTCTCAGGAACCTATATGCCCTCTCTGAGCTAAAAAAGTACACAGATGCATCAGCCTCAGAACCAGCCTCATCTTTGGAACAAGAAAGATTATCTACATATTAGCTAAGAATAGGATCGCAGGGCAAGTTAAAGCTCCAGAGGTCCTGGTAAAAAGTAAATCTTGGTGAAGGATTTGTGAAAAGTAGGTCCTGGTGAAGGATTTGTGAAAAGTAGGAGGGCACCTCAGAAACAGGCATACCAGTCCAGGTATGTTGATTTTACTTGGAAAAGACAGGTATTAACTTCTAACTTAAAGGCACACCAAGGAAAGCACAACAGTGTTCCACAGTTGTACGATACCCCCAGTCACCTTAGACCTTGAGGATGAAACAGTATTTGAGTTTGGTTCTAAAGGGAAGTGGAGAGTGACATTAATATTTATGGCCCCAGGGAACTATTAATAAGTGAATCTATGCTCTTGCCCACTGGGTTTTTTGACTGGGGAAATAGGAGTGTTACAAAGGCTGGGATGAAGTATGAAGACTCCTTTCTCTTTGTGGCCTTTGATTATTAGTTTTATTCCTTCCTTAGTGCCTTGTTTTAAAGGTTGTTGGGCAAATTTGCCCACCTAGACGTTTAGGTGGGTCAGTCTGAACTGAACACCATGCATTTAGTTCCAGTAGAATGTAAGTGGAGTTGTGTGCCCACAAGAGAACTGCCATCTATGCTTGGTTTACCACCAAAAGTACTGATAAATCAATATTCACATTAGCCAGGACCTCATTATGAACAGGGAGGTCCTCGGGGACTGAAAGGAAGAGGCCATCAGGAGAGCATTTAATGTGGAGAGCAATTCCATTCACACAGTAAATCCCTTGCTATTAAGTTAATGAGTATAATGTCACAAAGGAGAAAAGAACATTCCTTGGTTAAAAGTACAGGGTGATGGTTAAGTGCTGGGGCCTAGGGAAGGTGTGGTGAGAATTATCAGATAGATTCCTGACCACATAATTTGTTGAATCCAAGGAGAGGGTTGTTCCAGCAGGTCCCTGGCTTATGATGATGCAACTTCTTCCACCTTTAAGACGGTAGGAAAGTGATACCTATTTGGTGGAATCCACACTTCAAATTTTGAATTTTGATCTTTTTACCAGGCTAGCAAAATGCAGCAAGATCCTCACTAGTGATGCTGGGCAGGGCAGCAAGTGGCAGCTCCCAGCAGCCGTGTGATCACAATGGGAGACAGCCAATACACTTACAACCATTCTATACCTGGACAACCATTCTGTTTTTCATTTTCCGTATTCAATAAGTTATAAGAGATACTCAATACTTTATTATAAAATAGGTTTTGTGTTAGGTAATTTTGCCAAACCACAGTCTAATGTAAATTCTGAGCTTGTTTAAGGGCAGCAAGGCTAAGCTATGATGGTAGGTTTACAAAATGCATTTTTGACCTAATGATATTTTCAACTTACAATGGGTTTATTGGAATATAACCCCTTTATAAGTTGAGAAAGATCTATACATAGTGCTCAGATTTAAGATTGCTGTTATTGTGATGATATCAGTCAAAATTGTAAGATTGTCTTTTAATTTTTAGACCAGTGTTTCCTTGTGGGTTTGCAGGTAGAATGGGAAACTGAACACCTTCATTGATAGTTTTTTTTTTTTCCCTTTATTTATTTTTTATTTTTATTTTCCCTTTAGTCTGTTAGTTCTAGGGCTCTTTTAAATAGAGCTCTTCCAGGGTTTTGGAGATCTGGCCATGGGCCTATTTCCCACCCTACTTTTTGCTTGCATATTAAACCCCCTATTTCTCCTTTGAGGCAATTTACAAAAAGATGAGAGGGAGAGCCAGGGTTCCATCTGCTTCAAGATCTACTACTGAACCCTGATGCTACATCTTAAAGAACCTATCCCTAAAGTCTCCATCAGACCTCTCTTTTTTTGGCTTGAAGAACTGAATCAGAGCACACACTATTTTCACAGAAAAGACAGAGGATAGCTTCCAAAAGACCTTGACCCACATCTGCGGTGTTTCTAAGTCCCTTTGGTTTCCTGTTCAAGTCAAGGTCTTTTAAGTCATCATTGGAAGTTCTGACCTTTTCACTAAACTTTTTGCAACATATGAACTAATTGGTGTATATCTGGTCACCCTGGATTATATGTCCCTCAAACTAATCTGAATTTCTCTTCACTGTTCTCTTTATCTTGTCTAGGCCTTGGAAAGTCTTTGACAATGGCTTTCAGCTGAGAATGGAACCAGAGCTTAAAATTCACTATTAGCAGTTTTCTCTGTTGGAGAAGGCAATGGCAACCCACTCTAGTGCTCTTGCCTGGAAAATCCCATGAACGGAGGAGCCTGGTAGGCTGCAGTCCATGGGGTCACTAACCGTCAGGCACAGCTGAGCAACTTCACTTTCACTTTTCACTTGCATGCACTGGAGAAGGAAATGGCAACCCACTCCAGTGTTCTTGCCTGGAGAATCCCAGGGACGGGGGAGCCTGGTGGGCTGCCGTCTATGGGGTCGCACAGAGTCGGACATGGCTGAAGCGACTTAGCAGCAGCAGCAGTTTTCTCTGTGCTGCAGAAGGTTTACCTTGAAGAGGTAAGTAAGGATAGGGTTGGACTTCCATGGTAGTGCTAGTGGTAAAGAACTTCTGGAGTGGTAAAGAACCCACCTGCCAATGCAGGCAACATAATGCGGGTTCGATCCCTGGGTCAGAAAGATCCCCTGAAGGAGGGCATGACAACCCACTCCAGAAGTCTTGCCTAGAGAATCCCATGGACAGAGGAGCCTGGTGGGTTACAGTCCATAGATCGCAAAGAATCAGATGCAGCTGAGTGAGCACACATGCACGCAAGGTTTGGGGTATCTGTTGGGCTAAGAGGGAAGAAGAGTGGGTCAGAGGGAGAGATGGGGCAGTAGGAGGTGGAAGAATGTAGGATAGAGGAAGAGGAATAGTGTGTTTGAATTGTGATTTGTGAGAGATCTAAAAGACAGATGGTTTTAAGTTGTTCAGATTTTTCTTTTGCTTTGGCCAAGGAATCTGTTGGCGATTTTAGAATTCAATTTTTTTTTTGATTCTTCCTCATGCTAATAAAAAAAAAAAAGACCATTGGATGTTTCTATTGTGTTCCCTTTTCCTTCAAAGACACTTATCACGTGGGTAACTTTGTTCATGTCCAAAGTTCTTGTAGTGGTCACTGTGTAATTCTGAAGCATCCTTGGTAAAATGATGCTATTTAGAAAGATAAGTGCACAAATTTGGACAATAGCATAAATACCAGTAAGAAGCGGAAGTTGGGTCTGGGGAAGACATGGACTGAAGTTTACACTAAGAGAACCCCCATGACAGCCTGGGAATGTCCCTGGAGAGTTGCTTGTGCATCCTGTAGCTTGGGGCCCTTGACCTCACAGCTCGACTTTATCCAATTGCAACTCTGATGAATTTACATCTCTCAGCAGGTGAAAGGTGTGTGGAGAGCTCTGTTGATCCAAACTCTCACAGACAAAACAAGTCTGAATAAAGTTCTCATAAGGTGTTGATCAGTATCCTGAGACAAAATTTTTCCCTGGGCTGGCTTAGGGATGGACTTATTGGGACCCACGCTTGTCTTCTTCACCATTAACTTTATTATTTTAGATGCACAGCAATAAATGTCTAGGGTGGATATAGACAAATAGTTGTCTAATTAATGATAAGGTAGATATCCACCAAGGAGAAAAAAACTTTCAAATATGGCCTGGTAATCAAAGGATTCTTAAAAAGGGTTCCTAATTGGTAGGAGACAGACTAAATTTGAGTCAACAGTCCCTTAATCCACCCAGATCTCAGGGTATGTGATGTAGAACAGAATGACAACTGCCTTCCCAATTTTCTGTAGTTGTAGCCCAAATCCTCATATTCAGAATCCAACTTTTACTTACGACCATAATTATTGGCTCATAGCGTTTCCAGTCCGTGATGTAACTCATGTCTTAATTATCAGTGCTGTGAACTGGCCAGCCCAACCAGCCCTCCTAGAATGTTGACATTAATTCTGCCAGAGGCTGACCTGCATGGTCAGTCTTTCCCTTTATAGCTGCCATAAAGTCTATGGGGTGATTATTAGGTAAGGGAAAGAGACCATAGAAAGGCAAGTTTCAAAACCATGAATTCTTGTGTTTGTGCATGTTAGGCACTTAGTAATTATGTGTTTTTATTTTATTTTCCAGTTTTATTGAGATATAACTGAAATACAGCACTGTATAAAGTTAAAGCATATAGCATGATGATTTGACTTATATACATCAAAGTTTAATGATCATCTATCATCTTATAGAGATATAAAAGAAAAAAATACTTTTTTCCTTTTGATAGTTCTTAGGATTTACTCTCAACAACTTTCATATATAGCATACAACAGTGTTAACTGTTTTATCATATTGTACATTACATCCCTTGTTGTTTAGTCGCTCAGTCATGTCCGACTCTTTTGCGACCCCATGTACTGTAATCTGCCATTACATTACATCCCTAGTACTTATTTATAACTGAAAACTTATACTCTTTGACTAGTTTTATGTAATTCCCCCTCCCCTCTGTTATGTTATTTTTAGAATCCTAGAAATCTAACGTTTTCCCATGCCTGGGAGGTGAGGGCTCTGGGTGTCTCCTGGCCCCACCCACCCACTTCACGGTCTAGACACCAGCTCCTCCCTCCGTGCACATGCCTCTCTCCCACCATCCGCATCTGTTCTTCCCCTGGTCTCCCCCGTAACTCCTGCTTCTTTTTGGTAGCTTTGTGTCATCCGGTAGGACTGCAGTGGTGGTGCCCTCCCAAGAGGGGCAGTCCATGCTCCCTCCCAGCCTGCCTTGTGCAGATTCCCTGCCCAGGTGCTGCCGTCCTGGGGAGGGACGTCAGCCCTACCCACCAGTTGTTGTTGTTTAGTCACTAAGTCTTGTCCAACACTTTTGCCACCCCGTGGACTGTAGCCTGCCAGGCTCTTCTGTATGTGGGATTTCTGAGGCAAGAATACTGGAATGGGTTGCCCTTTCCTTCTCCGGGGGATCTTCCCAACCCAAGGATCGAACCCAAGTGTCCTTTACCACCATTCTTTAGCCACCAGGGATGCTAGGCTGCATTAACAAACAATTACTCAAAAATCTCAGGACTTTCAAGCAACATAGTTTATTTCTCATTCATGCTACCTGTTCCATCCAGATTGGCTGGGTTCTTTTCCACATTGTTTTCACTGTGTGACTCAAGCTACCAGAACAGTCACTGTTTAGAGCATTGACAATCTTTATGACAAAGGGAAAAGAGACAGTGTGGTAAACTGTAAAACTTCTGCCTAGCTGTGACATATCACACTTCTGTAAACATTTTATTGACTGGTGCAGAAAACAAAGCTAAGCTTGATGCCAATGCCCAGAGATAGGCAGTAAATCTTTGTAATAGTATAGTATACAATATTTTATTTTCTAGAATAGAAAATAACTTTTTGAAATAGAATCTTAGCTCATTAATTTTAACCTTTGTTATTTTCTAATATATGCATTTAAGACTATAAATTTCCCTTTATCAGCTGTATCCCATGAATATTATTCTAATTTTCTTTGTGATACCTTATTTAACCTATGTGTTATTTAAAAGCCCTTCTTAATATCCAAATAAATGTCGAGTTTTTTGAATTGTTTCCTAGTGTAATTGCATTATATCAGAAAATATGATTTGTATACTTTCAAATCTTAGACTTTTTTTAGACCTCATTTCTGCTTTCAACTACAAGGTCCAGGTAGAGGACCTTGAGCCTCAGATGAGACCCTAGCCTTGGCCAACACTTTGATTTCAGCCATGTGATATTCTGAATAGAGAACCTATTTGATCCTTGCCTGGACTTCTCCTCAACAAAACTGTGAGATAAGTGGATGTTGTTTTAAGCTGCTAAGGTTATAGTAATTTGTTATGCAAAAATAGAAAATTAATACAGTATTTCTAATAGTGGATAAACCACTCAGTTTTTATTTGTCTAAAAATGTCTGCTCATGTTTATTCTTAAAGGACCTTTTAGCTGGATGTAGAATTTTGGACTAGCAGTTTTCTTTTAGCACTGATAAGACAGTTCATTGTTCTCTGGTTTCCATTCTTGCTGTTGCACAACTCTCTGACTGTTGCTTCTTTGGAAATAATCTTTTTTTCTCCTCTGTTTGTCTTTAATTTTTTGTTTTGTTTTTTGCAGATTTAATGTGCCAAGAATAGATCTGTTTTATTAACTTTTCTTGGGGTTTTTTCTTTTTTTTTGAGTCTGAGCTTGACATCTTTCATCAGTTCTGGAAAATTCTTAATTATCTTCAAAATTGTCCCTGCTCATTCTCAGCTCCAAGTAGACTTATACCAACTAGATATAAATAAGACCTTCTCTCTGTATTCTGTGTCTATTATGTTCGCTTTTGTGTTTTCTGCCCTGTTGTCTTGTCTTCATTCTAGGTAGTTTCCTCTACCAAGTTTTCTGATTCATTGATTCTTTCTTCTCATGTGTCCAAACTGTTGTCAGACCCAACCCTTGAGTTTTTAAACACCTATTATATTTCTTTGTTCTCAAATGTTTATTTGATTCTCTTTCCAATCTGCTACTTTGTTACCCTTGTGTTTTATCACAGAGGGAAACCTTCCTTGACTCCCCCCATCCTGATATCAGACTGTACTCCCCACTACCACTGTGTGTTGCCGTGGCGACATGGGCTCTGCCAGGCCTTTACTGTGTTTCTTACATTCTCTCTCCAGCTAGACTGTAAGTATCTTGAGGATAGAGACTATCACTTACTCTGTGTATCCAGCATTTATCACAGTACCTGGTAACAGCAGTCACTCCATAAATGTTGTGGAACTCAACTGAACTTTACCTAAAGAAACCTCCTTGACCATCAAACACTTCCACTTTGAAGAGATGGGAAAACTTCAGTTAAGTCTCCACTACTCACAACTACTCTTTGTGTGAGGAGATTCTTCTACATAGGGAATACTAAGAGATGCTGTTTCTGCATCCAGGCTGATGAGAGGAAAGAGCAGAAGGCAAAACAGACACAGAAATAAGAGGCATCTCAGGTGAGTAAATTTCTAGGAATGAAGAGAAATTATTGGACAAGCTCAAATGTTTCCAAGCTATTGAATTACCCAGACCTCCAAAGAATGAGGGACTCTTGCTGATATCTGAATGGCACTGTTTCAGTATATCTAGGAACTCAAGGCAGAGTGGTTTCTAAGAA